ACACACTGACTGGACACTCCAGTACATTAACACTGCACTGAAAGAGAGAGGGGTTAATACGGTCCAGACACACTGACTGGACACTCCAGTACATTAACACTGCACTGAGAGAGAGAGGGGTTAATAAACTTGTACCCACAGAGAGCCGTTAGCAGAAAACTGGTTGTTACAGATCTCTTTAAGTGTAAGGGATTACAAATACTGGCGTGGCGTCAGGACCAGATTAATAACATTACGTGTGGAAAAACAGAAGCCACACAAAAAAAGGACTCCTTTTGCCTATATTTCTCCAAACTCAGGCAAACGCTCTCGCGGAAAACGAACTGCACAGCTTGTTTTAACAGCGCAGTCTTGTTCTTGTTCCGCATGAAGCTCGAGAGCAGCTCTTGCTGGGTGTCTTAATGACAGTTTTCAGAAAAAGAAACATGCATGTACACAACAGACCCTCTCGCACACAGGTAGGCTTATTTCTCGATATAATATCACGACAAACATCACTGTACCGGTTGTACATGTCGGCCATCATCTCCACCTCCAGCTCTGCGGCGAGCTGCTGAGCTTTCATCGGGTCCATCTCTTCGGGACAGAATCGTTTACAACCACCGGCATCCGCTGCGTTTCACCTTCACTAAACGCACATGTATCCCCTCTAGTGAACCGCTTTCCTGTTTCCGCTGTCAAAAACAACCACTGGGCCATCGCCAAGAAAAACACCATAGACACATTAAGGGGCTCTTTGGGTGCATCTTACGGGAGCGGGTGACGCCTGGTGGCGACTGCCAGGAACTGCTGTTTGGGAGGAATATCACAACATGAATAAGTAGTCCCATACGAGATTGGACACCTCCGCCCATATACGAGAATACTATTCCCTAATTCAGCAAGCCTAACAAGCAGCGCTTCACGACACCCCGTGGAAATCTCTGAACTTGTAGAAATGAATATTTATTACGGCCTGTGTTAATTCAATCGAAATTCTAACTCCTGTTAGGATGAAAGTTTGGTCAGAAGACCAATTCAGAGTTAAAAGTCTTTATCGTACATATTGTTTAAAGGAATAGTGCCAGCACGTCTCTACAACTTGATTTTGAAACCAGTGACTTTTTAAACTTTGCAAGATAAATTTTACGACGTGTAAAAATGTTTTTAAAATGTAGCCTGGAGTAAAACACAGGGGCCTTATTTTTAATTTTAAACTAGTCTATGTAGCATGCCTGTTTTACACTGCACACTGACTTTGTAAAAGGAAAGATGCTGACCTGACAGATGTACAGACTGGTGGACTGCAGGTACAGAGGCAGGTAACAGGTTTTCAGGGTCAGTAGTATCAATACAGGTGTAACAAGTCTCAGGTGTGCTGTGGACAGGTCTCAGAGGTGTATTGTTGGTGGTCTCAGGTGTGCTGTGGAAGTGTATTGGGTCGTGGACAGGTCTCAGGTGTGCTGTGGAAAGGTCTCAGGTGTGCTGTGGATGTGTATTGGGTGTGTTATAGACAGGTCTCAGGTGTGCTGTGGACATGTATTGGGTGTGTTATAGACAGGTCTCAGGTGTGCTGTGGATGTGTATTGGGTGTGTTATAGACATGTCTCAGGTGTGCTGTGGATGTGTATTGGGTGTGTTATAGACATGTCTCAGGTGTGCTGTGGATGTGTATTGGGTTGTGGAAAGGTCTCAGGTGTGTTGTCAGTCTCAGGTGTATTGTTGGTGGTCTCAGGTGTGCTGTGGCTCTCAGGTGTATTGTTGGTGGTCTCAGGTGTGCTGTGGCTCTCAGGTGTATTGTTGGTGGTGTCAGGAGTGTTGTGGATGGATCAGCCAGGGCTCTCCAGGTATTACAGTGCTCTCTTGTGACCACCTGAGTGATTGCAGGCATGCAGTGCTGGCAGTGAGCAGGACTCCTCTCCTCCAATCAGCGCTGATCCTCTCGTACGGGGTGGCACTCCCTGTGACATGCTGACAGGAAGACGGGCCAATCAGAGGAGTCTGATCTCCTCCTTCCTCAGTCTCCCCCGTGTGCGGTAAGAGGGTTTGAAGCTGAACGCCGGGATGTGGAAAACACAGGACTGAATGCTCCAGATCAGGTGGGTTAAAGAAAATAAACAATTGTTTTTATTAAGAAAAATAAAGACAACAGACTTTGCTTGTGAAGCCTGCCTCCTTCGGAACACAAGAGTTAGTGTATCCACACACTAATAACAACAGAGCTCCACGCAGACAGAAAGCTGCAGGAGGGGGCAGGGAGACTGAAAACACAAGCCAGAAGTGAGGAGAGAGGGACGATATTACTTGTTGATCTAGTTCACTTTGTATGGAAATCTCTAAATGCCACATTAATGGGGGTTATGGGAAGGTTATCTTTAACTTAAGATGATCACAAGCACTGCGATTCCTGAACAGGCTTCATGGGTGGGGGAGAAGCTGGAGCTGACAGAGGTATTTTCCACATGTCCAGGGCAGGCCTGTTACACTGGGCAAGAGGAAAATCCACTGCTACCCTGACATGGCCCTCTGTTCCACTGAAGGATGTAACGGACACTCTAGGGCAAAAACCCACAAAGAGACAATATGGCACAAGTGGCACTTACATCCTACTGCTGCATCTCCCAGTTCCAGCAGCAGTGTCCCAGTCGGGGAGAAGTCTAGCATGCGGGTAGCTGAAAGTCGCGTCTCACAGTTCACGTCAAAAACGTCATGCAAGGGGCGTGAATCTGACAGCCACGTTCGTTTATTCAGACTTGCCAAAGAGCACGCTTTACAACATAAGGGCCTGTCCAAAACACTAAATCCAACAGCTGGAGCTGAACGTCCTGGGAAAACTAAAGACGGACAAATGATTTTCTGGTTCTCTTGAGGATTTCCCTCTGCCACACAATTCTTTTCAAACACTAGAACCAAAAGGAACACAAGAACAGTGAAACATCACACTCTTCTTCATAGTGCTGGAAACAACCCCAGACTCTCATACAAGACGCCAGATCTGTTCTCAGCGCTGATCTGGCTTTAAACAGGATGTCTCTGCAATAATTAACAAAATACGTAGGAAATCAATTTCTTGATTGCAAAATCAACAAATAGTTAGGTGTTATAATAAATTTGCCCACGATTCCTTGTTCTGCTGAAGCTGTGCACACCTACAGAACTTGTTTGAAACATTACGTCAACTATAACGAGATTGAGCGTGCATGAACTAAGAGCACAACATAACATAACACAACACAACAACACATGGCTAAAGCTCTCGGACATTCACTCACCTGCCCAGGGACCTGGTAAAGGCAGGTTCTCCATCCCTCCCTACCCGACCACATCGATCTCCAGCTCCCTGTCCTCCTCTTCCTCCTCCTCCTCCTCCGACTGGTCTCGGGATCCAAGGTCACAGTTCTGCCTCAGCACTGCCAGCAGGAAGTGACACGGCAGGGGGGCTGGGCTGGAGCACTCAAGGATCTCCACTTCCTCTTCTTCTTCTTCGATGTCCAAGCTGCCACTTGAGCCCTCAGTGGCCCGGAAGTCCTGAAGGGGGGCGGGAGCAGGGAGCCGTTCTGTTGGCCAAACCTGAAGGGTGCTCTCGGACAAACTCGGCCTGCTCTTCGCCTTCCACGCAACCTCATGGCTCCCTTCTCTCTTCCTTCTCTCTGTCCTGATTCTGTCCTGCTTTGCTATCTCAGTCGGCCCCGCCTTGCTTTCTGTGTCGAGACCCATCCTTGTTGCTGTCTCCATCTTTTCATCATCGCTCTCTTCAAAATACTTCTCCTCTCCTCGCTCTCCCTCCTTTCCTTGCTGAATCCTCCCTTGGGGCTCCTGACTGCCTTCTTCCCGACTCAGCCCTGCTCTGTGCATGACATCAAGAGACACCCCCCACCCTCTCCCAAACACACCCGATTCTCCTGTGCTGTTTCCGCAGGTGGGATGTTTCCTCTGCATATCCTGAAGTCCAGGGTCACTTCCTCCTAAACTGCTAACCGATGAATCGCGCACCTCCTCACTCTTCTCCTGCTCTCTCTGTCCTTTGCCCCAGACACAGGCCCTCTCCTCGTTCAGCTCCGCCACCCCCTTCTTCCTCGCCCTCCTGTCAGCAATGCAGTGGAATTCCAGAGGTCCCCTGTTTTCCTGCACCCCATCCTCTGCGGCTAGCACCATGTGTTTGGAGCGCGCCGCGCTCCCCGTGTCTGACACGGTCTCTATGGCCGTCACACCGGAGCCATGATCTGCCCCACCTCCATTCCGGACCTTGCGATCCAGAGGCGGCACAAGTCCCTTCCCACACACAACTGGAGACGCACGGTTTTTCACACGCACCCCCTTTCCCCGTGGGCTGCTGACACCGCTTCTCGAAAGCTGCAGATCAGCTTCCTGTCCTGTCTCCACCTTGTCTATTGCACTCGGAATGCTATTTTGGTCTTTAATTTGAGGCTGATCCTTTCTTCTCCTTCCTGCATGGCTCGGTGTTCTCTTCAAGATATAGGCATCTCGTGCATCCCGCCCTCTCCTCTTGGGACCACATCCCACACACAGTGCGGCCCTGCTATCCCATCTAACTGGAAGATCTGCCCCAGGACTGAACACTTGCCCAGACGTCCTCGTCCTCAACTTCCTCGAGACGCCCTGTGCCCCACCCTTTTCTTCGCTTCTCTCCCTCCCTCGTGCTGACCGATCCATGGTCAGGGGGGAGCCTTCTACTGGTTCTCCACTACAAACCTTGCCATTCCTCACCTGGGAACCTGGCATATCTTCTCTCCGAGCGCTCTTTCTGTTCTCTATAGGCACTGGCTTTTGTACAGATACCGCCTCCAGCCCCTCCTGCTCCCTGGATGAAAGGTCTGGACAAGCATCGGCATTTAAGTGAGAATCTCTGGCCTCTTCTCCACCACCACTAGGCTCCGGGTTTGTTTCGGCCTGGGCCATGTCCTCCAGAGTCGTGGACATCTCTGGAGCATCCCGGCTGGGTCTGATCTTCCCAGTCTTCTTCACGGGTACTCCTCTCCTTCTCTTCATGGGCCTGCCAGGGTCCCACGCTCTGCCTCCCATGCACCCCTTGACTCTCCTTTCCTCCTGCAGGCCATGGGTTTTGACATCCCCTCTTGTGACTTTCCCTGCACCCCTCTTCTCTGATTTCAGTTCTGCCGTGTACATACCGCCCTTCCTCGGTTGGCCTCTCCTCGTTCTCTCTAATTTTACCAGGGTCTGTGAAGGCTCTGTCTCTCTCTTTCTTTTCCTGTGGCACCTTCGCAACGTTTCCATTTCTTCCTGCCTCTGCTCTTCCAGCTCCCTGGACCTCTTCCTGGTTAGGATGAAGGAACGGCTGGGTGGCACTTCCTGGACAGCTGTGTCTCTCTCCGACACTGGTCCCAGCTCCCCTCCAGAGCTGGTTTTCTGCTCTCCCTCCGGGCACCGCCTCTCGGAGGACACAGGGGCTGCCGCAGGAGGCTCAGGCACCATTCCCACGGGAACGGCCTCCTCCGCCTCACAGCCGTGCCATTCTGAAGGTCCGCTGATGCCATCCCGGCCACTCTGCTCCAGCTGTCGAGGTTTGGGACTGGTACGGGTTTGCCCCGGCACATCACGAAGTTCTGAGACATGGGATCTCCTGTGAGAAGATGACAATTCTGGACAATCTGTCTCCCGGAGGGGAGAAAGGAACTCTGGGAGTCGTAGTTCCATCCAAGGGGACAGGAGAGAAGAAGAGCACTGTGGGCTTCTTAGATCTTGAGACACCATGGAAGGAGAAGGTGTGGGGAAAGCAGCAGAGTAGAATTCCGGGACACACTCTTCGCCCGCAAGAAGTGAACATTGGCATTCTGGGTGCTGCGGAATCTCAGAGTCAGCCCTGCCGGAGACTGAATCGGACAGAGACATGTCGACAGAACTGCACGGGTCAGGTTTTTCTCTGGCATCTAAGGGGTAAGGCAGCTGCCCACTGCTGCCATGAACCCCGTCATCCACGTGGGCCCAATCCGCAGTAAATTCAAATGGAGTCGGAAATGGGGTCTCCCTGTCTCTCACCGGCTCAGATGATTTTTGCAAATCCGGGAGTGTCCTCTGTTGCCAGAGTCCATCTTCTCCGACTGCATTTTCCCTGCACAGCCCTGTCCCGTTTATCTGAGCGTGGTCCCCCGCAACACCATCCTGTGTCGGTGACCTCTGACCCTCCCTCCCAGCAGCCTCTCTCCTCCCTCCCTCTGTTCTAAACCACTCTCCATCCACACTCCCGACATCACCCAAACTCTCACGGCAATTCACTCTCTGGCCTGGGGGTGGCACTGCCTCTCCACCTCCCCAGCTCCCTGCCTCGGGGGAGGTCACAACACTTTGGAATGACAACAGGAAGTGACTGAGTATGTCCCGCAGTTTGGGAGGGGTCTCTCCCTGCCCAGTGCGAGCTGTGTTGTCCTCGGATGATCCAGGGAAGAGTGGTGCCCTAGCAGAAGCCGTCCCCTCTGAGGAATGGACGAGAACTCCGGGCTGTACTGTCCCTCCAGAACCGGTATAAAGGGGCTCTGTGAGATGGGCCATGTCTAAGAAAGAGGAGACAAGGGACAGAGTCAAAGTGTGAGTGCAGAAAAAGGAGCAGGCTGTGAGGGGAGCAGTGCAGGAGTGCAGAAAACTCAGGGAGCTGCTGAAGTGGGAGTGGCTCTTTGAAACAACGCTATGGGTTCATTGTGCAGCGAGCGATTAACCTCAAGGTGGAAATCAGTACGTGAGTACACTGAGAGAATGAAAGACACTGAGAGAGAGAGGGGTTAATACAGTACAGACAGACGCCTCTCACCTATATCAGCTACCTGCACTGTTGGATCAGAAGACCCAAAACCAACAGCAGGATCCCCCTGCTGTCCCACGTCACTGCCGTTGACCGGAGTAGCCTGGACAGCATCCCCCTTCCCATAATTCCCCAGCGCTGCCACGACAGGGCTGAGCGGCGGCTGCAGGAAGTTGATCTGCATCAGCACGTCCTCCAGCAGGCGATCCATCTGCTCGTCGCCGTCTTCGGGGCGGGAATTCGGGGCAGACGCGGGCGCGGGGGTCTCCAGAGGGGCCGGCGCAAGGGGGAGGAGGGGGTACTTCCTGGGCCGTCCTCGACCTCCCCGACCTCGCTTCAGCCCCGGCACGGCACTCTGGGAAGACACCAAACGGACGCAAGCAGCTTTCAGTGACAGAAGCGCGGTGACACAGATCAGCACGGTCCACCCCCGGAGCCAAACAGATCCCCATGAAAATCAAGGAAACGGGGAGCCATCGGATGATCCTGCATGTGGGACACCAGTCCCTGGGAACAGTCAGCCGGAATTCTGTATCACAGCTCCGAACAGAGACGGATGTGTCAGAGGGCGTTCTGAGTTCTGTGGGTGGACACATTTAGGTATAAATATCTTAAAAAAACAAAGTTATTCTTTTTAAATGGTAATGTATCAATCATCAGCAATGAATGATTGCAAAATAAAAATTAAAAGTGGATCAAAAGCACCACTTTGTCCTGACCACAGCTTCATAGAAGGGGTCGCCTTGGCAGAAATGACAAATATCCTTGTGTGCTGCTTTAAGGTTTTCGATAACTCAAAACACTGTGCAAAACAGTCAAACAGAAGAGATAGTTCAATGACACCTATTATATGCTGTTCATTACAGGCTATTCATTGGCTGTTTGGCTAAAGAAGAGCCTCCTGTTGTTGGTTTTCAATCTGCTTCCCTATAGTTTCCACTTGGGTTGCCTGGTTTGTGTTCACAAGGGAATGATATCCATATGTATATATTAACCACAGAACTCAAAACGCCAGCTGGGAACGAACAGCACACAGGAACACAGGATGTTTGCTAGGGAAATGCAATATAGTGATAGCAGAGATTTGTATATATTTATATACCGTGTGCATGTACAGTAGCTAGCAAGTTTACACACCCTTTGCAAAATAAATAACACATTTTATGACCTAACAGCCTGAAATCAAGGTAAGGAAATTAGAATCTATTTTACCTTTATATTCACACTGTAACACACCCTCCAGGCGCAAAACAAATGCTCTGGCGTTCTGAAAAGTAGTAACAAATGAAAGCCTAGAATGCTTTGGATACAGTAAGGGTACACACCCCTTGGTAACAGCAATTGTAAATTCGCTCGGGTGAAGCCAACGGCCTTCTTACTCAAACAAGCTGCCAGAAGATTTCAGAATAAAATGGGTTGTTGCTTGAAATCTCTGGTAGCGTATCTCAAGGTAATGCAGCTCTCGAAAGACCTCCAGGATACAGCGGAGGAAAGGCACAGAGCAGGAAATGGCTATAAAAAGATTGCAAAGGTCTTAAATTTCCCTCAGGGCACGGTCAAGACCAAGATGAAGAGGTGGAAGGCATCAGACATCGCCGAGACCATGCACGGATCAGAACGTCCCTCAAAACTGGATGGCCAAGCAGGACAGGGTACCAAACGGCCAGGCAGCACCTGAGATAGAGCTACAGGCTTTCATGGCCGAGACTGGTCAAAGCGGGACTGTGACCGTAATATCCCAAGCAGTACACAGCATATTCCACTGCATGGCAGAATGCCCAGAAGGCAGGCAAGACAGAGCAAACAGCAACAGAGTGGTACTGCAAAAATGGGGAAAAACGTTTTGTGGTCTGACAAATCAAAAATGAATCTTGCCTGAATGTGTAAACCCAACACGGCACACCATCCAGAGAAGGCCATCCCTACTGTGGGGAATGGTAGTGGTAGCATCATGTGACTGGGATTTTTCCCACCGGCAGTAGCTGGGATACTTATTAGGACAGAAGGTCAAAAGAATGGAGCAAAGTACGTTATTGTCCACATAAACCACAGAACTCAAAATGCCTGGAACGGTCAGTACAGATATCATTAACAACGGGTTGCTTACCTGACTGGCAACCACACAGCGGCCTGCTGGCTGGGTTTGTGCCCGTGTCCTGCCCCTGAGTCTGATGCTCTTCCTCTGACCTCGCCCCCTGGGTGCGGACTCCTTAAGGATCACCCACCCCGAGGGCAGCTTCTTCAATCTGATCTTGGCGCAGGTCTTGTCGACAGCAGCCCTGGGGACTCTGGAGCTTGCACCACTACCCCTCACCCCTCCACTCCTCGCCATCCCTCTTCCTCTTCCTGTATGGCACACCGGTGTCCCCACCCTCCTTCCCACCTCGTCTACATCGGGGCGCTCGCCATCTCCTCCTGCACCTTGCCTCCTGCCTTGTGTTCCTTTTCTCAGCTTGCCTGGACTCCTGCCCTGGTTCCCTGTCCCCATCCCTCTACAGAATGGCCTCCCTCTCCCTCTCCTTCCCACGTTCATCTCCACGAATCCAGGGACAGCGTCCTCTATCCTCGCGGCTCTCCCGTCCCTCCTCCTGATCTCTCCTCCTTCACTGGTGGCAGCAGTGGGATGGCCTTGCCACCTGACCGGCCAGTCTGCGAAGTCGGGGCAGAGACTCCGAGATCCCGCGGTCCGCGGGTCTTCTCCTCTCCCTCCTCTCCTCTCTTTTCCACTCAGCCTTTCGCCGTGGCACTCCGGCGGTCTCGTCCCCACCTCCCGGCCAGACCCCGTGTCCAAGTCGTGGACAGGGTCCCCATGGGTGCCAGCGAACGGGTGGGCAGGGGCCGGGAGGAGATATAAACACGACACCCGCCCTGTCTCCACGGGTGGGGGAGCGTGCTGCCACCCCCCTTCCAAATTGCGCCCTGCCCACAACAGAGTGGGAGCAGGAGGAGGGGGGTAATTTTCATTATTCAGGGGTAAAACGGAGACAGGAAAGGGGAGACACAGGGCTTGTGCAGCGGATGGCACAACTACAGAGGCGCTGGTGCCCGTAAGCCGGGCAAAAGGATATACAGTCGTAGCAGGAGTGGGGGCAGGAACAGAGCAGACAGGATGACCAGGAGCACCAAGGCCTGGAAGACCATCAGCGCTCTCCAAGATGGCCTCTACAGTGGGCGTGTCCGACATGCTGTGGGACGTCCTAGGGGGACCCTGGGGAGCTTGCTCTCCCTGGGCTGTGTCCCCTGTTTCGCGTGCAGCTACCACAGGCTGATGACCCTGCCGTGACCTCTCGTGTGTGTCCAGTGTCTGCATTAGGACAGGAGCAGCAGAAGGGAGAGAAGACAGACAGCTGGCACTCGGGTGTCCGGGGCTGGAAATCTGGGATTCTGCCGGAGTCCCGCTCCCTCCTGGTCCCGGCAGCCTGTGGCTATCCCGGGAAGCAGTGAGGTCAGTCACAGCAGCTGGGGGGCGAGCCGGCACGGGCGACTCCAAGGGCCCTGGGGAGCTCTCTCTCTCGGCCTCAGACTGCGCGGCCGTCCTGCCCCCTACCTCCTCTGCGCTGGGAGTGCATTCCCAGCTATCCGTCTTCCCTCCCGGCGTGACTCCCCCTCCGGCCACCATCTCCTCCAGCGCCCGGATGCCCAGCGCCCGTGCCGCGCTCAGGACCTCCCGCAGCTCACTCTCGCCCTCGCACCGCACCTCCCCCGAGTACAGGAAGCTGACCACGGTCTGCAGCCCCCGGGGGGTGACCCCCTCCAGGTCGATCCTCCACTGCCTCCGGGGGGACGGGGCGCCGGGGGCCGCGCCGAGGTGCTGGAGCAGCACGGGGCTGTGTGCCGAGAGCAGGCAGCTGTGGACCATCACCAACATGTCTGCGCAGGGAGAAACGGGCCAGAGGAGAGGGCTCAGAACTGCCATTTCAACCTCCCTGAAAACCCACTCGGAAATATCTGGTCTTCTTTAATTCACAGTGATTGTAACCAAAGAGACTTCCATGTGCGCCCATTTACACGGCTGGCAATGGCAATCTGAGCGAAGTGCCTTGCTCAGGGGTACAACAGCTGTGACCCACCTTGGATTCAAACCTGCAACCTTCCAGTTGTGAGTCCAGCGCTCCGACCAATCTTTTTACATCAATAAAACTCCTTGATGGCTGATGGTAAATTTCAAATAAAAGCGATAATGCAGAGGTATGGAGGGCAAACAGGACCGTGTTGCAAAAGATGCTTGCAATTATGAGTCATTTTACCTGGAGAACCCGTCTTCTCCTACAGCATGTATGAGGTGATCATTTTAATATTATGTACAAATTCATATCAAAAGTTGTGCTAAGGCATTCAGCGTTACTTTCTGGATTGTTAATTTTAGTTGAAAGTTACTACAGAATAATAAAGTTGCTTAACTTTTCCCTTAGATGTACTGTATATACACCCGTGATGAAACAGGAACAGTAAAAACAATTCTAAAAATGTTACACTATTATTGTTGACCGGAGTAACAACAGCATTGCACAGAATAAGTCATATTTGTCAGAAATAATTCAATTTCAGAATAAATGAAGGATTCACTCATTCACATCTCTAAGTATTAAACCCCTCTCTCTCAGTGCAGTGTTAATGTACTGGAGTGTCCAGTCAGTGTGTCTGGACTGTATTAACCCCTCTCTCTCAGTGCAGTGTTAATGTCCTGTAGTGTCCAGTCAGTGTGTCTGGACTGTATTAACCCCTCTCTCTCAGTGCAGTGTTAATGTCCTGTAGTGTCCAGTCAGTGTGTCTGTACTGTATTAACCCCTCTCTCTCAGTGCAGTGTTAATGTCCTGTAGTGTCCAGTCAGTGCGTCTGCACTGTATTAACCCCTCTCTCTCAGTGCAGTGTTAATGTCCTGTAGTGTCCAGTCAGTGCGTTTGGACTGTATTAAATTGCATCCTGTATCTCACCCTCAATTTGCAGGACGACATCACAGAACAGGCTGAGGTGCTGCTGTCGTTGCAACTCAACCAGGAGCTTCTTCTCAAAGTCAGGATCACAAAGGGTCAACATGGCGCTGCTCTGAGAGAGGCACAGAGGAGTTCAGAAGGAACTGCACAGCATGAACACTCATGTCCATGTGTCAAAGGCAACTTTACACCTGATACCTTACATAAATTACATAAAATAAACTATAACCAGCTACTACACATAACCTTTATTCCAGGACCTCATTTAACCACAGCATGTTTAAATAATTTAAAGTCACTTGAGGCATAGAAACATTCATGTAGCTGGGAAGCTTGTTCAACACTCCTACAACTCTTTATGTAAGGAACTGTCTCCGGTCCTGACTGGAGCATCTTATCCACCTGCCTTGAGAGAATTTAGGGTTCAACAGCATGGCTGGGTATCTTCTTCCACAGTCCCACAACGTTTGTGTAAGGATGTGCCTCCTAAATGCAATGATTCTATCATACACATCAGGAACACTGATCTGTTCACTTGGTCTGATCAGTGTGCTATACCACTATCCAACAAGGAATCGTGACCTTTTCCATCAGTAGATTTGGGAATAGGCGTGGACAGTGTCCTCTGTCTCTCGTCCTTGCTCTTGATGTCTCCTCCTTCTGTGTGGCAGCTGTGTGATTGGCGAGCCACCCGTCTGGCGAATCTTCTGGTCTTCTCCTCTAACAAATCACAAACCTTTCCGACAGTGGGTGTGGAAAGAGGCACAGTGCTCCACATCCAACAAGGATTCATGACTGCTTCCAACAATGAATGTGGAAATATGCATAGTATCCCATATCCTGGAAAGAAACAGGACCTCTTCCAGCAGTATAGTTGCAAAGAGGCATAGTGTCCCATTTCTAGTAAGGAAACCTGCCCTTGACAAGACAGAGGTATTCTTGTATTGAAATCAGGCACCTGTTTAGAGAACGCAATGCTTCTGTTTTCTGCATTGCAAGATGGCTGCTTCTTTCCTTGGTACACCGGGCGGCACTGAACAAAACCGAGGACCACTCGCAGATAGCGAGACGGCTGCCTCTTTTCTCCGCACAAAAATGTGGTGCAGAACAAGATCAAGGACCACATAGTTTGACAAGTCGGATTTTAGCAAGTTAGGGGAGTATCTGTACCTGCAGTGTGCGGTACTGGACTGATTCCATGGGAGACAAGAGGTCCTGTGGAATATCCCATTCATTGTGAAACTGTGGAGTTCCCACTGGAAATGACTCGGCAAGAGGCAACGTGCACTGTGCAAATGCACACCATGCCGTTAACACAAGTGGCCCAATTCACCTCCACGCCCATTAAAAGTACAATTAATATCACGCACCAGTGCAGCATAAATCCCCAACCTGCAGCAACTGCAGCCCTTTCTTTTTCACGAAAACCTACTGGACTGATGGACGGTCCCACACAGCTGAAGGACCTGAATCTCCTCAGTCTTGAACAGAGAGGAGTAAGTGGGGACCGGATGCAAGTATTCAAATTTCTCAAGGGTACCATCACGGTCAACCTAGTGAACTGCTTCAGAACAAGCAGTGGAATGCAAACCATACAGTACAAGCGCATTGAGAACTGAGGGTTTTTCCCAGCTGAAACAAAGGGTGGTAGGAGTGTGGAACTAGAGGGCAGAGGGGAGGTGTATGTGGAGGTGGATTTACAAATGAGAACAGGAGGCACTTCTGTGCACAGAGGGAGGTGGGAGTGTGGAACAAACAGCTCAGCCAAGTTGATGAAGCCGATACCCTGGCTTCTTTCAAGACACAGCTGGATGAGATCCTCCAGTCAGGACAGGAGGCACTTCTGTGCACAGAGAGTGGTGGGAGTGTGGAACAAACAGCTCAGCCACGTTGTTAAAGCCGATACCCTGGCTTCTTTCAGGACACAGCTGGATGAGATACTGGGATCATCTATCAACTGCCATCTACTAGATGGGTCAGAAGAGCCAAGTGGACTAGTGATGAACCTACAAATGTCCAAGTTCACTTCCTTCGTTTTTAAAAGGACAATCATGTGCCTGTGAACAGACCACTCAGTTACAGATTATCTGCATTCTGTGAACTGCTCTCGGTGGCACAGGGCATTGCAAAACGTTTGAACAAATTCAAAGCAGATTTTAAAATCGCGAATGCCTGTGTTTTTGGTAATGCGAGTTACATGATCAAGGCATTCACTGACATACTTTCAGGATTGTTGTCGGATTAATTATATTTCACATGTCCCTTCCAAAAAGAGACTAACCTGTTGCAAAGGTGAAAAAAAAATGCAAACACTGTCGAAGGTGAAAATACTTTTTAAAGCACATTTTAGAAACAAAAGCAAATAAGAAGACTGTATTTTGCAGATAAAACACAAGGTGGTGGGAGTGTGGAACAGGCTGCCCAGTCACGTTGTTGAATTCAATTCAATTTTTCAATTCTAAACACTTTATTCATCCCGTGGGGGGGCAATATAAGCAGCAAGCGATGCAACATACAACAGAAGACAAAAAAAAAACACATTGCCAAGAAAACATTATACAGTACATGAAAGCAACATTGTGTAGTATTAGTACGTTATTAGTACATGCACATATGTGTCTGGGTGGGGGTGGTGGGCTCTGGTTTCTTTAAAAAAACAGCTGGATGAAGCCCTCCAGCCAGGACAGGAGGCAATTCTTTACACAAAGGGTTGTGGGAGTGTGGAACAAGCTGTCCAGTCATGTTGTTAAAGCTGATACCCTGGCTTCTTTAAACAGTTGGGTGAGATCCTGGGATCAGTGAGCTACTAACTACCAAGTGGCCTAAATTGGCTGAATAGCCTTGTGTCTCATTTGTCTTTATCAAACGCCATGGTGTCAAAGGAGCGGAAGAATATACAGTACACCCTAAAAGTAAACACACACTGTACACACACACTACATGGTCACAGTATACACACACTGCAACACACAGTACACCAACACAGTAAACACACATTATACAGACATAAACACACACTGTGCACACACATTATACATGCATAAACACACACTGTACACGTACATGGTAAATACACTGTACACAAATGCACTGTATAATACATGCGCACTGTACATACTGTACACTACACTGCACACATCGCATACAGAGTACGCACTCACTGTAGACACTACTGTACACTACAACTTTACACACACAGTACACAGACGCACATTGTACATGCACACTGTACACACGTCAACTGCAGACGCACACAGCACACAATGTACACAAAAACACGCTGTACAAACATACCGTACGCACACTTCTTGACCACGCACGCATGGAAATCAACCAGCGAGTAACAGTGATCGTCACCGTTATCACCTGCTGCCGGGGTGATAATCCTTGTCTCTTAACTATCCCGTTAACTAACACCAATTAGCACCGACGCCCGAGTGTCCATGTAAACAAACATTTAGCACACTGCTCACCGCACGGCAATACCGCTCACCTCGACGTTTTTTCCAAAACCACGTTGTAAAAATCGTCAAATTCGCACTTTTACACCGGCCGAACTTCCGTTGGATGGAAAATAATGTAAATATGATTGTACGTGAAATTATATGGGAACTTTCTGCGTAATTACTTATTTGGTCTGCTCTTCTTTCCGTCTCTCGCGGTTCGACCGTCAGCCGAGTTCGGTGCGGAAGTTTCCGACGCCCGTAGCGTGCTCGAGA